GGGGGGGGTAGTAGAAAACAAGAATTTTGTTCAGATGATTATCAAGTGCAATCATGCATGGGTTCAAGCCAATGAAGCAAGATACCAGTACATGAGAGTAGTCCTCAAATCATGGTTAAATCAATACGACATAAATCAATTTATTAGTACAAAGATGTTTTACCTTATATCATAGATAAAAGAGAAGTAATATGACATAAAACACGATAAGGTTACTCCGCTAACGCTCAGCTAAGATCAGATTACAAGATCACCTTCACTATTCACACATAACCACTAGTCATAAAACTGCGATTAGTTCACAACAGAAAAGCGGTGTGTGCACACACAACTGAGACATATCATTCATCCACCAAGTCTGATCTGTTTTTATGCCAGCCCTTAATGACTTTTGAAGTAGCTCACCCTAGAAGTTACAAGAGAAATTGTATTTGCCTTAATCTCGTCACTAAGTTAGACTGTATTTGCCTTGATCTCGTCACTAAGTTAGACTTCTATAAGATGCCCAACCACAAATGCATTTATACATCAATGCTTCCTTAAGAGCTTCACAATGTGTTAGGAATAATTTTTTGGAGATTTAGAGTTAAGGTTGCAGAGCGTAAGCGAAAGTTTGTAGGGTCAGGAGGTAGAAGGCCTGGAGATTCAGCGAAGCTGGATGGGCTATTAATTCCGTCAGTTGGCTGAATCCTGCAGCAAAAGGACTTAATGTGCTTGACCCACTCATTATGTCAAGGTAAAAAGTCTGTTTACTAATTAAAGGACTAAAATTGATGTTAAGAAATAATTCGAGGGCAAATGGAAATTATTCTCTTGTGCTTTTACTTTTTCCAGTGTCCTCGATCCTCATAATACCCCATATATATTCATGTAGGCAGTCCCTCATAATCACTTGATATTGTCTAAACAAGACACAGGAATAAACTGATATACCACAGACAGAACACGGTAAAATAAAATTGAGCCTTATTCCTTACAGTTTCTGCCAAGAAAAAGCTCTCCATGTGATCTTCTTGTTTGTGAAATTCAACATCGGATATATGACAATATCCACAAGTGCATCGGGCACCATATTGCAAGCTAGCTAGCATATCCCTTCCGGCATCCAGATACCTATATCAAATGATTTAATAGATGAAATTAAAAGAAACATAAGCCTCGAACCCTTAAAGTCTGAGTGTATTGATTAAATTGCTATCCAGGAAGCGAAAGCACTCAATGAAGAAAGAAAGAGAGTTTTAAATAATTGAAATCAAATTTTTCAGAGTGTAGCAATGACCGTGCAGCTTAGTCATTAACCATTCTTTCACCCTTTCTGGAATCTCTTTTGATCATGCAAGGAAGGAAATTTCTAGCACAAAAAGAAGGTGTTTTTACTGTTAAATCTTGTTAAAACATTAACAGAAGGGACAGATCAGATCTCCTTTTGGCCTTGGAAATAGATTTGGAGAAAAGATGCTCCTCAAAAAGGGATATGCTTCTCTTGGCTAGTGGCTCATGAATCCTGTCTGACTTAAGAGAACTTGCAAAAAAGGGGCTGCAGTTAAGCAACAGATGCTATCTGCGTGAAGTTGAAACAGAAAGTATTATCCACCTAAAAAGGGTTTGGATGAAAACTGCTTTTTGGTCCTTCGGACAGAAAATGAAACCAAGGATGCTCTGAAGATAAAGCAGAACCATATATTCAAACTGAGTCTTCTTTTGGCTTTTTTGGTGTAACATGTTAGATGTATACGATATAGACACTTTACTTGATTTCCTCAACTCCCTTCGTTTGTAGGAGTTTGAGTTTTTGCTATGTGTCTATTTGGCCCTCCTGGGTGCCTCAGAGAAGTAATAATAAATCCTAATTATGAGGTTACCTTCACACACATCCAGATACAACATCCAGGCTATAACAAATGTCACAACGATCATAGATAGGAAACTTGATAAGGACTGCCAATAGGAAATCTAAAAAGGATTTCTTCATAGGGAATCTTTGTCTGGGTCATTCTGGGGGGAAAGACTAGTAAATTGTCCTCTAGACGGCTTTCCTGTGTATCTGATGAGCTTACATGTATGGGCTAAAAGATCTCGATGTCAAGCAAGAAAGACGTGATCTTCCGTTCCTAGAATGAATGACTCTGCTAACTTGGATATACAACACATTCATACTGTAAGATCTTTCCTGGTTGTGATTTCCATTTAATTTCAGCTTTGTTAAAAGACTGAATAGAGTGCAAAACAAATAAGTAAAAACCTAACCGTCTGAAGATTGCACGTGCCTAAAGATATTACTCTTCACACAATACAATCATGAAAAAGGTAGTGATCAATCATCCAATAACGTTCCGGGTTAAATTAACTACTGAAAAATGTAGGCGAAAGCAAAACTTAATTCAAGAGCAAACACGCCAACCTGGGATCTCTGGTAGCTTTGTACAGCCAATATGTGCTCTCAATCAATTCCGGACGCAGAGGATAGCTTTTCTGGCCTTGCTATATTGTAAGCAAAATACAATAAAATATAAGATAAGTGATAATACAGTAAACAAACCAATCCTAACCACACTAGCAATAGCAATCAGGTGCCCAGTCAGCACAAAAAGAGGCAATAGAAGGAACAAGATCAATGCACAAAGAATTCGAGGAGATGGAAGAAGACTTCACGTGGTGGCCTGACTGCTTATATTTCACAGCGATGAGAAATGATCTATCACTAAAACGTTCTATCCACTTACATGGACGACTTTATCTGAAAAGTGACTTGCTAAAAGAATGATAAAGTGTTACGCAGAATGACCCGATGGAGAAATAGTTGTACGAGTCAAAGGCATGTCTATGAAGATGGCCAAATGAAACCTTTTAACCTTATATGTTCGCTCGTGATGTGGGCTAAGGTGAGCAACCAAACAATACAATGGAGGTTTTCCTTTTAAGCACGTATAAGGTCCACCCAGGAGCAATTTCATGCTAACAGGCACTGCCTATATCTAGGTCACTTTACATACACAAGTACATTGATAAAATAACTAGCAGATAAACAAACTCAAAATATCAAAAAGAACTAGACAAGAGTAAGGTGGTGTACTTGAACAGTGAGCGTAGCTAGATTGAAACCCTCTGGGGTAAACCCATATCTTCTCCAGACGCTGAAGAAAGCAGCATGTGTTCTAATGGCAGGCTCAATATCCCCTGCTAGAACCTTTCAACAAATACACAAAAGTTAGTTCCGTCTACGAATAAAATTTTAAGGAAACAATGGTTTGCTTGGGTATGAGAGATCTCCATAACCAAATCACCTGAAGACCTGGCCAGAATGCCTGCAGGCTGTTAAATAAAGGCCAGACAAGGGCAGCAGAATTCATATTTACTTCTACGTACCTACACATATTGAAAAAGGCAAATTTGCATAGAACTTTTAGGTCTAGAGAACAAGAGAAAATTAGGGGTGGGCAAGACTTCAAATTGTGGAGTACCAACTCGTAATACAGGAGAGTAAGGAAAATATCTTCTTGATTTGGTTATTGACTACAGAATTGGGCTTCCTATTTAGGAGCCTTAGCCTACGTAACGCAAAATAATGGAAGTTATTATTCTCTAACAATTAAGTGGAGAATGTTCTAAAATATCCTTAGAAATAATCTATGAGATGTAGTCATACTCAAACTAAACGAACCTAGACATAATGTGACGCACTTCCAAAAGAATAACTATATTAGTTCTCTTGACGTAACAACAGCATTGGAATACAGCCATGGGGATTTCTCCGTATTGAATACAAGCCTTAGCAAGCAGCATTACTTACCAAGGATCATTAAAGAGATAGTGCATAGCAGCCTTATAAGCTTCCTGGAAGATGAAAAGATATTCTTCGTCCCCAAATAGCAAATAAGCCTGAAATAAATATGTGAATGAGTAGGTCAGGATTAAGGAAAATTACATACAAATCAACCTATAGGAATTCATGAGTTTGTGAAACGAAGCAATTAAACTACTAACTCATTTAGTTCAAAACGAAAAACTACTCCTAACTCCTTAAAATCAAATCTGAACTTCCAGTTGTCAATTACAAGACCCTGAAAATGCTAACAAAAAAGCTTGTGAATAAAAGTAGTCCATAAAGAACAGGAATCTAATGTTAGCAATAAGTATTTTCTGATCTCAGCAACCATGCCATAGCAAAATCTCCTAGAGGTAAATGTCAGAATATAACCATCCTTTCAACACCGTGTCCTTTCCTCTTCACCCTCCCCCTCCACTCCCAGGAAAGTGCAAGGAGGCACTTTTTTAATACATCTTTCCATCTGTCCAATAGTGAAACACATGCAACTCTAGTTTCCCCCCAGCAAAATTGGAAATTATTGTGTTTACTAGCTTCGAAATTATTTAAATATAGATAAGAGACGATATTATAATTGAACTAGGTCCCCAAAGCAAGAGTCCCCCTCCCCTCCCCTCCCCCCCCGAGAGTTTAATGTAAATACAGATAACAGCTTGTTTGGATGGTTGTTACCTATCATATCGTATCGTATCGTTACTTTAAATACAATGTTTATTTTGATTGTTACTCAAATTTTATTGTATCGTATCGTTAAATCCGTCGTTATGTAACGATGAAATGTGCCACTTCATGTAACAACCGATTTGGTGTGGTCGCGTCGTTTCCTTGTGTTTTTCTCTCAATCTCACCCTTCATTATTATTAAATAATTTTATTTTATCATTTACCCTACCTTTTTATATACCGTATCATAATTTTTCTTTATATTATTGCAAGTTTATTCATCATATCACAGGTGCGTGATACTATGAAACGACGCCAAAACGACACAATCCATCCAAACATTGCATTCATCAAACGATACAGTACAATACAATACAATACAATACGATACATTATGAAACAATACGTAACAACAATCCAAACAAGTTGTAAGATGGGGACCAGTAACTATGGCAATATCCAATATTCCAGGAAGCTTTATGGTTTCCTCGTACAAAATTATTTTCACATGGATGGTTATAATCACCAAAAAGACAATGAAAAAGAAAGAGTCCTTTACCTGAATATAAACACCGTTCAAAATTTGAATATTTGAATCTTGAATTGTAATAATTACACAGGATACTCTTTTAAAAAAGGGCATACAAACGATTAAATTGATGGTTAAAACAAAACGAATACAACTACACCTCCACCGGAACTACTAGAGTCGGTCATCTGAATCCTCTCTATCCATTTTGCTCTATTTGGTCTTATGTCATTCCACTAACAATAACTTGCTTTTACGGCATGTTAGGGGCTGCCAATAGAAGTTCTCTAAATCCAAGCTTATTCCTACATTGACATACAAACATATAAACAAACCAAAAAGAACTTCTAGCAAATACTGGAACTAATGTAGGTGTACCACAGAAGTATGTCTTGACTCCACCTAGTTGTTACCATCTATATGGATCTTCTTTCCCATTGTGTTTTATTCTTTGCTAAACCCGCAAGAATCCCGAGATGATATAGATCTTTTGCAACGATATCCACCTTATAAATTTCAGGTTTACTGGTCCCTATTTAAGTCCTTCAATTGTCATAGTATCTCACCTACAGATCAGTGCTTTTGAAGGTCTGCATAGAACATGGTCAGACCATCTCCACTGATATTCTCTCATTTTATTCTCTATATGTGCTACTTTTACTTCTTTCAGATGTGATTGTTTTCTAATCTAGTGTAACATTTCTTTTATAATAAATCTGGTCTGATATTATATGACTGCACATCCATCTTAACATCTGCATTTCTAGGAAAGCAAAACATTCACTCCTGTAACATTGTTGGTCTCACAAACACATGCTAAAGCTGAATCTCTGCAATGCTTCTCCAGAATTTAAGCTCTTAGTCAATCCCTCACGAGTTTCACCAATTAAACAAAACCATCTGCAGAATAGCATGCACCATAGAACCTCATATCCTATACTAGTGGTTAGCTCATCCATAGGAAGGTAAACAACGGCAGGATCAAGGATTTATAACTAATGTGTATAAGATTTTTAGCAATACGAAGAAAAAAAGAGAGCTACTTTTGGACATAAATAAAACTATAGTACATAAACATTAATTCCATGTTATTGTTTGCAGTTAAACTGTTCCAATTCTCTCTTGTTGGCATAAAGCTAGAACAGAACCATGTCCTGAATAATTCTCACTTACGTTTTAAACAAACACTATACCCTAAGATAGATTCATAGGTGCAGAATTAAGTGGGAGAATTCGTCAGGAAGCTTCTAACCAGAAAACAGAGAAAGTACCTTTTGGAGCAATGGCACCAGTAGAGTAACAGAGCATACAACCAGACAGTGTTTTACATGATATAAGGTTTCTTTTGAGGCAATCCAACAATAAACAAAGTCCAAAATTATCAATCAACTACGTCTCCGCCCAAACTAGTTAAGTCTGGCTATACAAATTGTGAGAAAGCACGGGAGAAAATATATTATTGATGTATATACATATGTTACAATGAGCCCTATATATATACACACATAACATGTCCTACTCCTAACATATATTGGATTAGGGTTATTTATTTACTCCTATTTACATGACTATTCTAACACTCCCCCTCAAGCTGGTGCATATAAATCATATGTACCAAGCTTGTTACATATGTAGTTAATACGAGGACCAGTGAGGGACTTGGTGAAAATATCTGCAAGCTGATCATTCGACTTCACAAACTTTGTAGCAATATCTCCCGAGAGTATCTTTTCTCTAACAAAGTGACAGTCAATCTCAATGTGTTTAGTTCTCTCATGGAACACTGGATTTGACGCAATATGAAGAGCAGCTTGATTATCACACACAAGTCCCATCTGACTAATCTCACCAAATTTCAACTCCTTGAGCAACTGTTTGATCCAAATTAGCTCACATGTCGCCATAGCCATTGCTCGATATTCTGCTTCTGCACTAGACCGAGCAACCACATTCTGTTTCTTGCTCTTCCAGGACACCAAATTTCCTCCTACCAAGACACAATATCCAGACGTAGAACGTCTATCAGAAGGTGATCCTGCCCAATCAGCATCTGAGTATCCAACGATCTGCTCATGGCCTCGACCCTCAAACAATAAACCTTTGCCTGGAGCTGATTTTATATACCGAAGAATGCGAACAACTGCATCCCAATGACTATCACACGGAGAATCCATAAACTGACTCACAACACTCACAGAAAAGGAAATGTCAGGTCTTGTCACTGTAAGGTAATTTAATTTACCAACCAACCGTCTATATCTTGCAGGATCGCTAAGAGGCTCCCCCTGTCCTGGCATAAGTTTAGAATTCGGATCCATCGGAGTGTCAACCGGTCTACAACCTGTCATTCCTGTCTCTTCAAGAATATCTAAGGCATACTTTCGTTGTGAGATCACAACACCTGAGCTAGACTGAGCGACCTCAATACCCAGAAAATACTTTAGTTTGCCCAGATCCTTAGTCTGAAAGTGTTGCAAGAGATGTTGCTTCAATTTAGTAATACCATCCTGGTCATTGCCGGTAATAACAATGTCGTCAACATAGACCACCAGATAAATACAGAGACTCGAGGCAGAATGCCGATAGAATACAGAGTGATCAGCTTCACTCTGAATCATGCCAAATTCTCGAATAACTGTGCTGAACTTACCAAACCAGGCTCGAGGAGACTGCTTTAGACCATAAAGTGACCGACGCAAGCGACATACAAGGCCACGAGACTCCCCCTGAGCAACAAACCCAGGTGGTTGCTCCATATAAACTTCATCCTCAAGGTCACCGTGTAAAAAAGCATTCTTAATGTCCAGCTGATAGAGGGGCCAATGGCGAACAGCAGCCATGGATAGAAAAAGGCGGACTGATGCTATCTTAGCCACAGGAGAGAAGGTATCACTGTAATCGAGCCCAAATATCTGAGTATATCCTTTGGCAACAAGACGAGCCTTAAGACGATCAACCTTACCATCCGGACCAACCTTGACTGCATACACCCAACGACAACCAACAGTAGATTTACCTGAAGGAAGAGGGACGAGCTCCCAAGTACCACTCGTATGTAAAGCAGACATCTCGTCAATCATAGCCTGTCGCCATCCTGGATGAGACAATGCTTCACCTGTAGACTTAGGGATGGAAACAGAGGACAAAGAAGATAGAAAAGCATAATAGGGTGATGACAAACGATGATAACTCAAACCGACATAATGGGGATTAGGATTAAGGGTGGCCCGTATACCTTTCCGAAGTGCAATCGGTTGATTAAGAGGAGACAAGTCCGCAGTATTAGCAGGGTCAGGTGCAGGACGTGAATCAGCTGGACCTGATGCTGGGCGCGGACGACGATGATATGTCAAAAGTGGTGTTCCTGTGGCAGGGAGTCTAGGAGGAGCCACACTAGACTCCTCAACGGCTGGAATGGATAAGACTTCTATAGCGGAAGGTGAAGGAGGAGCTATAGGAGACTCGGGTAAGACTTCTGTGGCGGAAGGTGAAGGAGGAGCTATAGTAGACTCCTTAAAGGTCGGTATAGGTAAGACCTCAGATATATCAAGGGGGTCAGAAAGGTCAGAAGAGGTAAAGAAAGGTTTAGACTCAAAAAATGTGACGTCAGAGGACATAAAGTACCTACGAAGATCAAGTGAGTAACAACGATAGCCCTTCTGAACACGAGAATAACCAAGGAAGACACACTTGAGAGCACGAGGAGCTAACTTATCTTTCCCAGGGGCTAGGTTATGAACGAAACAAGTGCTCCCAAAAACACGAGGGGGAACAGAGTATACGGGTGATTGGGGACACAATACTGCATACGGTATCTGATTCTGGATGGGAGAGGAAGGCATCCGATTAACTAAATAACAAGCTGTGAGAACTGCATCGCCCCAAAAACGCAGCGGAACATGAGATTCAATGAGAAGTGTGCGAGCAGTCTCAATGATGTGCCTATTCTTTCTCTCTGCAACCCCATTTTGCTGAGGGGTATAAGGACAAGAGGTCTGATGAATAATTCCTTGAGAAGTCATAAACTGCTGAAATTGAGAGGATAAATATTCTAAGGCATTATCACTGCGAAAAGTGCGAATGGAAACACCAAATTGATTTTTAATTTCAGCACAAAAATTCTGGAATATAGAAAACAACTCAGAACGATCTTTCATTAAGAAAATCCAAGTACATCTTGAATGATCATCAATAAAACTAACAAAATAACGAAATCCCAAGGTTGAACTGACTCTACTAGGACCCCATATATCAGAGTGAACTAAAGAAAAAATAGACTCTACGTGACTCTCAATACTACGAGGATAGGAGGCTCGGGTATGTTTCCCGAGCTGACATGACTCACACTCTAATGTGGATAAACTAGACAAACCAGGCACCATCTTCTGAAGCTTGGATAAGCTTGGATGTCCTAAACGTTTGTGAATTAGGTCCGGAGGATCTGTAACTAGACATGCCTTGGAGGATTTTAGGGAGTTAAGGTAGTAAAGCCCTTCTGATTCAAGTCCTGTTCCAATCGTCTGCCCTGTACTGCGGTCCTGCATAATAAAAGAATCATCAATAAAATATATACCACAATGGAGGGCACGAGTCAAACGACTAACAGATGCAAGATTAAAAGGACAGCCAGGGACATAGAGAACGGAATCTAGAGTGACAGAGGGTAGGGGATTCGCTTGTCCAACTCCTTTTGCTTTGGTTTGAGACCCATTGGCTAAAGTAACAGTGGGAAGAGACTGTGAATACGCAATATTTGACAAAAGTGATTTATTACCAGAGATATGATCAGAAGCGGCTGAGTCCACAACCCATTGTCCAGGAGGACTAGACTGGGAAACACAAGCAAAAGAATTACCAGCAACAGAAGTATTAGTCTGAGCAACAGAAGCTACTTGTGGAGATGTCTGCTTACTTGCTCGATACTGAAGGAACTCATTATACTCCCCTTCAGATAAAGAAAATCCCTGGTTACCTGTAGTCTCAGTCTGAGCAACATAAGCATTTTTGGTTGGGCGGCCATGTAAAGAATAGCATACATCACGAGTGTGTCCAAGTTTATGACAATAGGAGCACTTGGGTCTAGATCTTCCAAAACGACCTCCTCCTCGTCTATTTTCCATAGTATGAGATGCCCGATTGTCCACTGATTGGGATACGAGGACAGATGAGTCAAGTGTCTGTGATGAGCTCACTGGGTGACTAGGTGCTGCAGCAAGGCGAAGTAATCGAGAGAATAATTCATCAACTGAGGGGACGGTTGGACTAGCCAAAATCTGGTCACGTACTGAATCAAGGTCATTAGGGAGTCCAGCGAGTGTAAGAACTAGAAACATCTTCTGTCGTTGCTCTTGTTGTTTTTCAATACTAGCAGAAACTGGCATCAACGTCTCAAATTCTTCCATGACTGCCTGAACTTGTCCCAAGTAAGTAGACATATCTAATTCCTGTTTCTTCAAGCTTGTCATTCGCGATATTACATCATAGAAACGAGATATGTCATTAGTGTATAGATTACGAGCCTTTTCCCAAACTAAATAACATGTCTGGAATGGACGGAACAAGGGCATCAACTTGGAATCAATAGATCGCCACAGGATACTACATAACTGAGCATCGACCTTCTCCCATTGTGTTTTGGCCTTTTCATCACCTTCGCTAGCCTTTTTTGTTAAATGATCTTGAACTCCTTGACCTTTACACCACAACTCGACAGATGAAGCCCAATCTAAGTAGTTTGAACCTCCCATTAAAGGTTCTGAGGTAATCATAACACCGGAACTGCCAGAACTCGGGTTTCTAGACCCGAAAGCATCGACTCCCAAAGACATGGTTGGATTATCACTAAATAACAAAAAAGAATCAACTGAAAATTCTCTGAGACAGATGAAGAAAACACTGTGTTTGCCGGAAAAGTACTGTAGCTGCCGGAAAAATCAGTGTAGTCGCCGGAAAAATCAGTGTAGTCGCCGGAAAAACTCAAAGTGGTCGGAATTAAAAAATAAAAATATGGACAGGCTCGGAATTGCAGGGCGATCCAACTGTCCTGAAGAAGCGAAGCCGAAAAATGGCCGGAAGAGGCCTCACGCGCCGGCGCGTGGGACAGACGCGCCGCCGGCGGCAGAGTTCCGACAGGCGCGTGACGGCGCGTGGAGGGCTATTTTCCGGTGATTTTTTCTGGGGTTTGGTCGGATCTCTCTTGGGAACCTTGTGGTGGTGTTGGATTTTGCACAACACTGTTAATTAGTGACTTTGACGCAATAAGTCACTTAGGTCACCGGAAAATTGCACGGTGACTGAGTTCTTTTTTCCCGGAAGTCGCTGGAATGATGCACAGCGATATGTTTCTCACTAAAGCTCTGATACCATGTGAGAAAGCACGGGAGAAAATATATTATTGATGTATATACATATGTTACAATGAGCCCTATATATATACACACATAACATGTCCTACTCCTAACATATATTGGATTAGGGTTATTTATTTACTCCTATTTACATGACTATTCTAACACAAATCATCAGTATCCTGCTCTATTAACAAAGTCCAGAATCATGATTGCAAATCATCAGTATCCTGCTCTATTAACAAAGTCCAGAATCATGATTGCAAAAACATGTTTAGGAGGATAGGAACAGTAGAATAGATATAAAGATCTTATTCTACGCTTTTACTAAGAAATGAGTTCTAATGATTACAAGCAAACAAACTACGCAAAAGGAGTATTATTTATTAATTTTGTATACACAAAAAGCAATTATTCTGGACAGTTGAGAATTTACCTTTAGGAGATATTCATAGAAAGAGTCTATACTTGTCCCTATCCCAGCATCCTGCAAAGAATGAATATTTTATATTACTTGACTACAAAGGGAAAAGTGAAAGAAATGCAAGAAACCAATAATGCTAGGTTGCAGTGCTAAAAAATGACAATTCCTGAATCCCAAGTGGAGAAGGAATGACTAACGAAGTCAAAGTGGCCATGCGTAGTTGAAACCATTCCTTTAATGTATCCAGCTTTTTGAGTCAATCATAACCCTTAAATATCTAGGTTCTAATTCTTCAACAAGAGGTACAAACAGCAGGCTAGCTGTTAGATCTAATGCCGAACACTTATAGGAAGTTACTAGATGTAAATATTTTAGCACACAGAGGACTTTCAGTCTTCCGTTTAGGGATAAAAAAATAATCAACTAACGGTAACACATTATACATTATCAGAGGGAAGTACTACAGATATGCATAAGAAATAGATATTTTAGTTAGAGGAGTCAAAGATGAAGGTAGATATCCTTAACGTAGTTGTAGTTCAAACCCCTCTATATTTCAGACACTATATCATGAAATTCAAAAGATTTCAGTTTTTTTTTTTTCCGGATTTCCTCTCCTTTAATTAAATTTTGGAGAAAAGAGATAAAACTGAAAGACAACTCACTTTCCAGAAATTTTACAAGCAAGGGGCCATTTCGAGCAGGAAAAGGTGTTTTGTCCAGCCCACCTCTCTTTTATCCATGTTGCCTCTTCAACCCAAGAAGAAATCAGAACTGCAGTCTATACCCTTCAGTCGATTCCCCCCCACCCCCACCCCCAGTTTTTACCTCTCTCTCTCCTGCACTTAGCATCAAATTGACAACAATAATGCCATCGCAGCTGGACAGCTGACCTGACTTTTTCCTCCATATATTTCCTCCCCCAGGCACATTCCCTTCACTCTCTCCATTAGTCTACCTATTATTCCGTGCACAACAGCACGGACAAACAATAAGGATTTCAAGTTGTGTGACATCATGAATCAAGCCAAATCAAAAAAATTCTTATCATGCCTATCACAACGACAAAATGCACGTCCTAGATTTGAAAGAATGTGACCTTTTGTGTCCAGTCACCAGAAAAAACATCTATATGAGCACCAACTAAATTAATCTTTGACCGGCGAGCCCATAATCCTCGAACTGCGTTCTTTGCAACTTGCTCAAAAACTGCATTTCATCATAACAAGAATAAGCATAAGTTCACAAAGCAAAACTACGTGAATTTACATGCTCGATTTACCAAACACACGATGAAGGGGGAAACAAACTACTGTTCAAAAATTTTAGAAGGACTGCTACTTGAAAGGGCCTGAGACATGGGAATTGTGTCCAAACATTAACAGTCACTACACACTAGATATCTAATGGATAACATATCTCCATAAACGGTCAGATAAAGGGTTGACTGTTCTTAGAAGCTCAGATGAGTGTACCACCTCTAATGTTAACAGTTAAGTCAACTACACTTCAGAAATCAAATTGGGAACCTCCGCAGCCTGACTCATCTCAAATCCCCCCCCCCCCCCAACCCCCGAAAAGGGGGAAAAAAAAAAGAAAGTACTACTCCTTAACAGGTCCAGATTTTTCTCTTCATACTTCTTTCAGTTGAGTACAAAGTAGAAAGAACTTAAATAATCTCAATCTTTTGAAGAACCCAAATGATATCTAAGGTCTGTTACTAAACCAAGTTAAAGAGTAAAACATAATGACCCAAGCTCCTAAGCGAAGGTATTGGATTCCTAAAGATATACTCATTTTACCTACATTACAGCTCTTTCGAGTTCGTTCCACCAAGGATCTAGAGTGTACCTTATGTCAGCTGAAACAAACAACTACTCATGTCAGGGTAATTAGAATGAGTAAACCTGAACAAAATACTGAAGATCCTCTTGAATAAGATCAGAAGATGAAAGGAAAATTGAGTAAATCAGATCAACAGTGTTTTACTTACTGGGATCATTAGTTAAGCGGCTGAGTACCCCAAATTCTAACGTCAGTGTCCCTCCACCAGCAGTTGATGTTATCTAGGCACCCAAAAATATAGCTTTAATATAGGATAATAATGTGAGTGCACATCTCAGGCAAGGAAAGCTGATTAAGAATTAAAAGCAAGTAGAGTTTCAGAAGCTTTAATAGCTCAGACATCTAATAAATGCCTATGGCATGCATAGCACATGTAGTTGCACATACATGGTCCTCCAGACAAGCAAGACAGAATATTTTCATATTTCACTTTACATGAACTAACAAACAGTAGATTATGTCTTCTCCTGCCATGCTGGTTCTTGATTCTCATGCAGACCACTGATTCTCATGCAGACACCAACCAGGTCAATCTTCTAAAATTATTTACTAGTAATACTTAACAGACTTCAAAAGATAGAAATTTGTCCGTCTTCTCTAACTCTATTCATGTCTGTCAGATGGATACAAAAATGATCAGATCAAGAGGATTTCTGGTTTTCTCTTCTTTACTTGTGGGAATAGGGCAAAAATGCTGGATAAGAACATTGCTGTCTTCAAAATATTGTGAATTACAACTATCTTAGAACAAAATATTCCAAATCATATTAGAAAGAAAAGGCACAAGATCACATGTTCATTAACAACCAGGACAGTCATAGATATTTTTTAACTGATAAGTTAATCTGAAGCGAGCTTGAATATAGAATGTCTTTGCTCCCAACCACTGCCACACTAGGCATGATACCACTATAGATGGAATCCAATACAGCACTTCCAAAGAGGAAAAGGAGAATACAAAGAGGATTTACCTTGCTTTCATTTTCATCGACTCCATGCAACAGATTTACTGATCCAAATGGAATTCCTGCAGCAAAAGTAATTCAGAATGTAAGATAGGCAGGCTGTTTTACTAGGACAGGCAAGTGTTGTTCAAACTCACACAGTCACACTTTATTAACCTAAACTTTTTATCAGATATAGATATAATAAACTCAACGCTGGATCTCGCAACTAGATTTTTTTATATATCTTCCAAGATACTAAATTACCTCCAACTAGAAAACAATATTTGGAAGTAAGTTGTTTGTCAGAGGGTGAACCAACCCAATAACAATGTTTAAAAAAATGGTTTTTGGATCTAACTCAATCCAAAAGCTATATCATGAGGGGAGAATCATCCAAAATCATACAAGGACTTACAACAACCCATTCAACCAATATGGGACACTCGCTCTATTGCATGCCTAGAAAAGGACATCTGGACTGCGGATACCATAATAAGGAGGTCCAACATATGGAGACACAACAATAGGGATGAGACTAGCTCTGATAGAATCTGAGAATAAAGAACATGGAAGAATATTGAGAGAAAGTTTAGCTTGATTATTCCTCAAGTTGTCGGGGTGTTTAAATAGTAACATACACCTATTCAACTATTCGAAGGTATGAGGGAAATCAAGGTTACGCAATTACAAGAAAAATAACCTCCCTAATTGGTTCTAATAGACATACAACATACTTCAATAATTACACAATATTCATAACAAGATTGATTCTACCCAATCGATATGGCCAAAACCAAATTCCACGAGGGATACCTGTAGGAGTATCAAATGCCGGCAACATTCTCCGTGCCAAGTCCTCAGCCAAGTGAAGCAATTCATTATCATAAGTGGGAATCCTCATGCCCTGCAGTTCTAAAGGACCTGGTTAAAGTATTTGGAGAAAGTAGCTTAGAGTCTCTCACTTTTCTAAAGTTAACAAACATAGAAGGCATACTCGGCTGTATCAGAAAAGTAATTCTTTTTAAAAGACACAAAGGTAACACACATATGAATATAATACCGTGTTATAGTCGCTTGCAATGAGATGGGCAGAAATTAAACCTCCAAGGACACGTATTGTAGTCTCAAATATAGATACTGTCTTGTTCTGCAAATACGTAAATTTTCAGAACTCAGGAAAGTAGCAAATAAAATCGAACTCCCAGTCTCATTCCCGGCTAACCGTGAGCAGAGTGAAGGATGGGCCAAGAGCTTTTATAAGGAGTCTTTTCTCAACAATATTCCCCGGGTATATGAATAAAGTCTCGATTATCTTAAAAACTTAGGTTCTTCTTACAAGTATTGATACTCCGAGGGTCTCTTCCGGAGGATACAAAAAGGCAACAGATATCAAACATTGAGGCCAGTTTCTAAAGGGTGTCTTGCCTATAAATTTCACAATGAGGGAGGCTGCTTCTATGTGAATGAGCTGTAAATAGAAAGCAAACTCAAAGCTTATAATTTTTTTTGAAAACCGAGAAATCACAGAGAGTCAGTGGCGCACGGTCTGAAACTCGGTGGATGATAGATCCGCCCCGATACCCTTTTCCACTTAAATATCAGGCTTTTTGTTTGTGGCAGGATTCGAACCTGTGACATCCGCCTAACCCACATATCACATGCTACATAAAGCTAGCACATAATAAAAATGCCTATCTCTTTACAAGGATGACTTGTTTAATATTCTTATTTATAAATAACTTTAATCAACACAAGGTAGTCATTTGCTGAATTGACAAAAGCATCTAGTCAAGGGAGAAATTGGGATTTGCAACAAAAGTTTAACCTTGTCAAACTACTTGATGGTTCTTAAATTTGACTGTCATACAAGTCGAACACCAAACCCCATGCATGAAAGCTTATATTCTCAACATTAGAAGCATTACGGCCACTAAAGGCATCTGATTTCCCAGCAATACAAAGGAATTATTACAGTCATATTCAAGATCACCTTTCTATGGCACTCAAAAAAAGATTAATGGGGAAAAAGAACTTTCAAGAAGCCAGAGGAGATCTTTTAAATCCAACTTCAACGAGTTAATTATCTGAAGTTCATAAGGCAATGTCTTTTGAAGAGTAAAATATTCGCTCCAATATTCATTCAGTTTCATACAAATGCCATACTCACAATATCAAACTGAAGATTTTTACCAATCCATTCAACAGAAGAAGTAAACCGCTCTCTGTCACCAAGCAAAGCCAAGGTGTCCAATGAGTCAATCTGTGAAAATGCACATGTTAGGAACATTAAGTATATGTTTACCAAGAAAAATTAGTTTGTCCAGTCCAGCAAGAAAGTGTCTTCTTACCAATGTTAAGGCATAGCCACCAAGTGTGTCTTCTCCTCCACAAGATAAAGGCCTTAACTCATCACGTGGAAAAGCATGATCCATATATCCGTTAAATGCATGGTAGAACATCTCACGCACCTAAAAAGGAATGAAAATATCACTATTTTTTCAACCACATTATAAAGTTCGAAATTGGAAGGGAAGGCAAAGCAGAAGAAAATGAGCAAGATATTATATGCTCAACTTTCGGTCACTTTTTTTCTCTAACCACCTAGTTCCAATGTTGGATATCGAGTGGGGATTAATACGAAGAGGAGATACAAAAATGTGAGGTGGGCATGAATGAGAATATTCTTCCCCTTTTACAAAAGTGTACCAATTGCTCTAATTTCCAACCTAGAAAATAGATTAGTAGGTTGGATGTTAAATCGTTATGCCACTGTCTATTCCTAGCTATGTACTTATTCGTTTCAGTTTCAAATTTTTTAATCTCTTCTGTAACCATTCCGACAAAATAGAAGATGTCTCATTATATTGAATACATTTTTCTTTTTGATAAAGTAAAGAACACATTTTTCGTTTCAGTTGACGTCTGCTTTTCCTGTTGCAATTTCGACAAACATGAAATCATCTCCATTATTTCAGCTTTAGAGTTCCTATTGAAGAGCTGACAACTGATTCTCAACAATATTAATTTTATGCCGAGATCAAGAATGTAACCACTTTTTATATCAAATCATTGAAGTAATGGACATCGTATCAATCCGTTAACACTTGACATCACTACATTCAGAAAGAGATTAAAAGAAAAGTAATGATAATTGAAGTTCAAGATTAAAAACATTTTAAAGGTCCAAAAAATGCGTCGATCTGCGAGTGAACAATCGATAAGGAGAAGAGAAATAAAGGTGACCTCGTCTCTGAGCTCTTTGGCTTCTTGAGGAGTGACGCCATCTCCGAGGGTTTTGCCTATAAACAAGGCGCACAGAATCAGCATCAATAACTTCGGAGCTTCCATAGCCACTCTCCTCCTTTTTCCTCTTTCTCTCTCTGCCGAGTATATATGTCCATCTGAATCTTAATTCTAAATTACCTCTTTCAAGGTACATGCTAAAACAACCCAAAACGGCCCTCAAACTTCACGAAATTGCATTCTCGTACTCTACTTAACTTGGTTACACCGTGCGCCACTGAGTTTTTACCCACATTAAAAATACACTCATCATTGTGGTAGATAATATCCTAAGATTGTTTATAGTGTAAGCCTCTCTATAATAACCTCGCTTGTTCCGATATTTTTTGGCTTTTATAGTAAATGACTATTATATACCTATAATTGCATTTGACGTTTAAATATATTTTAGCTATTATAGATAAAAATTATCCAAAAATTAATTATTTTTCCTTTTTTATTATTATATGGAGTATAAAGGATAAGAAAATTATTCAAATTTAAAATATCAACAGATATGCATATTTCACTAGTTAAATATTGAAGAAAGCTACTACATTATTAATAAATTCATAACATATAAAGATTTCAACTATAAGGCATGCATTTTAAAGCTACCTAGAAAATAAATTCTTTCTCTTTCACGATTGATAAAAGAACTTTGTAATTGTAGCTTGTTTTTTAGATTTATTCTCTTACTAGCGATATAACGCTTGAATTGGTGAAGATTCGTACCAAATTTTAACCAAAAAAGTATCCAATACATTTCCCTTGAAGGCAATCTAAGAGCTTAATAATAAGAAAATTTATCTAAATAATTTTTGAAATTTGTCCAATAGAAAAGATACCATGTGCAAATCTTCAAATCTTATATCTTATGCAAGATAAAAACTTAATTTGTTTAATGAAAAAAATTGTGTGCATATTTTTAAAACTATTATTAGTAATCTTAGTGATTCTATATGGTTGTTATAGAGGGGTATTTTACAAAGAGCGTTCTGCTATAAATATGGTCGTTACTGTTATAGGTAAAAAGCTGTTATAGAGAGGTAAAATACAACTTAAAAAATCGGTTCTAAGAAAAACTCAATTTTTGTAGTGAATGGTTGTTATATAGGGATGTTGTTATAGAGAGGTATGACTGTATTATATTTTAATTTTTAATCTCAAAACTATTATTCGTCCAAGTATAAAGTTTAGACAATAAATTTCGTCGAGAAAATAATCGAGGACGAAAAATATTGCGACAATCGTAGTATTTGATTTCAAGTAATATGAGTGTTACAATCTCTATAATTCCTCTGATTCTACTTTTCCAATATAAATTCAAGGGCCTTGAGCATGACCTTGAATTTGAATATGATTTATCGGTCGCGAACACTTTGATTGTTGCTACGAATTGTATCACGAACAAGTAGCCTTGATCTTGAACGCCTTGTATTTGATTTGACTTCGTTCTTGATCTTGAATACTTGAAATTTGTGTTGGAGTGCTTGAATGCTTGAACACTTGCAGTTTGCAGAGAATTATGGCCTTTGATCCACGAGCTCCCTTGTGTCTTCTTATTGTAACTTCTGGTGTCTTTTCTGAGTTATGAAGACCCCTATTTATAGTTGTGGGAGGGAAGAGTTATGATAAGAATAAACTCTTTTCGACCAATCAAATTGAAGTGTGACAAGGTCGCATTTGATTGGCCAGAACATGTCACTTGCACATGTGGTGCGATTTCATTGGCCCTTTAATTTGACTTGGCATGCCTTATCATTTTGACATATGGCACGATCCTATTGGCTCTTCCGTTTGACTTGGCATGCCACATCATTTTGACACGTGGCACCAAACTGGGCCTCTACGAAGATGGCATATTGGGAATAATGAAGTGGGCTCATCATTTGTAGCCCAATCGAATGGGCTAGCCTAGTAGATTTGGACTAATTTATTTAACCCATATGTATTTGACTAATATACTTAATCTAACTATATTAGCCCATAATATATATTTGGACTAATATACCTTGAATTTAAAGTAAAATCCAAATAATTTTATGGATTTAAATCCAATAAAATTTAAATATCTACAAATTCCCCCCTACTTCAAGACTTGTCAAAATATCAACTTACCAATTTTAAAAGACGAGGCCTAATTTTCACCAAAGATTAGCTCCAACGATGTCTAATTTTGACGGAAGAAATGTTGTCTTGACTCTTCGCAAGGATTTCATCTTGAATGTCTGGGCTAAAATTCATACCAAACTCTCTAACCTTACTACAGACAGTGTTTCTTCTATTCAGTTTGAGATCCAAGTGATTCTCGAGGAGATGGATGGAAAGGGTGTGGATATTTCTCCTCTAAAAGATCTATTGACGTTTTTCTTTAAGCTTGCAACTTCATATGACCAGGGACGATCAACTCTTTCGATAAGGTTGTGGACATTGAAATACCAGAGCCATTTTTTAAAGCCAAGGAACATCTTGATCTTATCTTAACTAAAAAAGGGGAGAAGGTCGAGGAACTGTCTATCACCAGTCAATCTCTCAAGGAGGCCAAGGAGAAGGTGAAACAGTTAAGAGCTCTCCGAGATGCTGCCAAGAAAGAGGTTGAAGAGATTGAATCTAGAGTTTCACCTGCTGAAGAGGAGTACCGTAGATGTTCTGATGTTTCCTTGGTGACTGTTGATGCCTTAGCCGACGTGGAGACGAAGAAACAATACTTAGAGGTCACCCTTAAAGACTTGGTCAATTACAAGTTGTATTTAGATTAGCCTATATAGAGTATTTTATTTGCCTCTTTTTTTTTGGTTAACTAGCGACTATTCGTGGAAATGAAAACTTCATCTGTTTTACTTTATATTGTGCGTTTTCATTAATGTTCCCCTCTTTTTTTCCTTGCGGTTCAATATCAATATTTGGTTGCTTAACATGATGTATTGACATCCAAAAAATAGAACTTGGATTTCTTTTAAACATCGCTATCGTTCATGTCTCGAAATTCTCTGTATTTGAATATACATCCTCCTTTTCTTTGAAGATAATATTGTTCATCACCTTCGTAAAATTTGCAGTAGGAAGTATATATCTCAATGTGAGAACGCCAAAAATATTAGCCATTTGATTTCGTAGAAACTAAACATTAAAATCTAACACGTATTCGATATCACCAATCAAGCACATTCAGAATCGTCCCAGACAATATTTTGAAACCAACTTTATATTGCACCATGCTGTCAATTCCAGATTTCACAGTCTCACCAAAAAATTCATATTTTGGTGTAGAAACGTCAAAATTATGAACCGTTTGATTTATTGAAAACTAGACTTCAAAATCTAGAACATATCCAAAATTCTCAATCGAACAACTTCAAAATCGTCCCTGGTAATATTTTGAAATCAACTTTATATTGCACCATGCTGTCAATTCCAGATTTGTGCAGTCTCACCAAAAAATTCATATCTTGGTGTAGGAACGTCAAAATTACGAACTGTTTGACTTTTTGAAAACTAGACTTCAAAATCTAGAACATATCCAAAATTCTTGATCAAACAACTTCAGAATCGTCCCAGATAATATTTTAAAATTAACTTTATATTGCACCATGCTGTCAATTCCAGATTTGTGCAGTCTCGCCAAAAATTTCATATCTTGGTGTAGAAAAGTCAAAATTACAATCCGTTTGATTTTTCGGAAACCAAACTTCAAAATCTAAATCATATCCATAATGAAAAATTTAATACATTAAGAATAATTTCAGATAATATCTTGAAATCAACATAAAATTCTGACACGCTGACGGTTTCAGATTTGCGCGACTTCACCAAAACTTTTGTATCTTGGTATGGAAGCCTCGTGATCGGAAGAAGTTTTACTTGCCATCAATCGAAATTCAAGATCTCCATTCTCATATATATCTTGAATTCAAGTCTCACTGAATTTGAAACGTTGTGCCAAGTAATCTTTTTTCTTATACTTGTGTTCCCTTTTGACGCATCTCTTCTTTTCCCTTTTTTTTAAGGCAGAGGGAGGAATTGGAGACCAACAAACTTGAAGGTTTGGTGAACCTGAAGACATAGATAATCCTTGGACTTCAATGCAAATACTTGACATCCTCCTAAAATTGGCCCATTGAAGATACCTATTTACCATGGAGGGTTCCCCCCTTTAAATCAAATGAGATCAAAGTTCAATATGAGGATGACATTTCAGCTTGATTTTACATTCCTTCATACTTCACTCGGACAATAATTGGGGCAATATGTATCTTTTGAACTTATGCGACTGAACTTAGAATGAAACTCTAGTCTGCCTACGTACCTCGTTGAAGAGGATCAAGTCATATCGTAGTTCAAAATGGGTAATTTTTTTTATGTCCTAACTTTAGCCTAGGCCGCCTCTTTCGAGGTTTTCAATCTAGCAGATTTTTTTTATGGACTGTCAAGTTTAGACTTATGCAGGCCAGGAGTGTAGGAATATGCAGTTTAGGCTCATACGTCAAGGGGCGTTGCAACTTCAAGAATAATACTTCTTCAAAAATTTGCCATTAATAGGACCGATTCTCATGCCATCTGCATCAACCAGCTTGTTAGCCCCACTTGAGTAAGCTTCTTCTACGACATATGGACCATCCTATTTTGAAGTGAACTTCCCTACAGGTTTATGGGAAGTAATAATGGGTCTTCGTACGACAAGGACTTGATCTCCTACTTAAAAGGATCTGGGGCGAACTCTTTTATTGAAGGCACGAGAAAATTGAGCTTGATAACATTCAAGACTCTGTTGAGCTTCCAACCTCTTCTCATCAAGAGCCTCCAACTCTGCTCATCGAAGTCCAAAATTTTCTTTATCAGTGATCCCTTCTTGAATAGCTAATCGTAATGAAGATATTTGACGCTCGAGTGGCAAGACGACTTTGACTCCATAGACAAATGAATAAGGGGTCGCTTGCGTTGGTGTGCGGTGAGTTGTCCTATATGCCCACAAAGATTCTTCCATACGGTCATGCCAATCTCGTTTCGATTTGGAAACGACTTTCTTTAACAAGTTGCATAGAGTCTTGTTGAATGCCTCAGCTAGACCATTGGCGGCAGCATTGTACATAGAAGAGTTACGTTGCTTGAAGCCAAAGAGATCACAAATCTTGT